GCGGGCGGCCGGCCGAGGTTTAAGTTAAAGGGTGCAGCGCTGCCAAGCAGGGCCGGGAATGAGTCACCAGAAAAAACGAGTTGAGATTCGCTTGAACACTTGCATCAGTTGATACCGCCTGCGGGTGCCATCGCTCCCTGACGTGGCTCATTGACTGTAAAAATCATCTTTAATTGGAAATTCGGCCCAAAGCTTCAGCTCCCTGTTACATAATAGAGAACTCGAAAAAATGAAAGTCTCGGGAATGAGGAAGAAATTTCTGGAACTTTTGCAACCAGAAATTTCTAAAGAGGAAAACAAAAATTTTGCTTACTCTGGATTAAGATTAATATTTATGAATTTTCACATAAACTCTTTAATTTTGAGGCGTAGAAAGGATACTGACCATCACCTGTTCCTTCGTTCATTCACTTTCTACTCCTTATTCTAGGCAAGAGGTTATTTAGGTGGTGATATTAACAAATAAGAAGAATGCACTCCGTTTAAAAACCCCTCTTTGCACATTACCTGAGATATCTTCTATGAAACACGGTGATGTGTTCTTGCCCAGGATTCCTGCTGACAACTTAGAGAAAGGTTTGTCTCATTTTAAAGGACGGCGAGGGATGAAGTGATAGAAGGGCAGGAGTTAGAGGGAGGGGGATTTTATAAATTGTAACCCACATTGGACACTTTTAAGAGTGGAATGGGCATAAACCAGGCCTGCCCTGGGGAAAATAGGACATCTAGTCTCCTCGTTTTGGGTGAGAGGTTTAGGAAGCATATAAGGAAAGAGATTTAAGAATGTTGACAGCCAGGTGCAGTGGCTCAGGCCTGTAATCCCAGCACTTTGAGAGGCCAAGGCAGGAAGATCGCTTGAGCTCAGGAGTTTGAGACCAAAGTGGGCAACATAGTGAGATGCCATTTCTACAAAAAAAATTTAAAAAATTAGCTCTGAACAGTGACACAGGCCTGTAGTCTCAGCTACTGGGGAGGCTGAGGTGGGAGGGTTGCTTGAGCCCAGGAGGTAGAGGCTGCAGTGAGCTGTAATCGTGCCACTGCACTCCAGCCTGGGCCACAGGGCTACAGACCAAGACCCTGTCTCACTCTCTCTCTCTTAAAAAGAAAAAAAAAAAAAAGCTGAGGCTCCATTGCTCCATTGTAAACATATTTGCATTAAATATTTGCATCTCAGGACCAATCACTGTCACTCAAGTTGCAGGGGAGGAGGGACAAATGGCGAGAGACAGGAGAAG